GGGTGAAAATCCTTCACCAAAACCAAAACACGCGGATACCCAAAAACCAAACGGATATCCAAAAAACCAAAAATATTATAATAAAACACCAAAGACAACAACATAAAACATGATAACTTTGAGAGTACCAGACAACCAGTCACAAATTAGCAAGTACCAACGTACAGTGCAAGCCATAAAGGTAGTAGAGTACATAGCTAAGCCAAGCTATCACGGGAGACGGGGAGAGGATAAGAGGGAGAGGAAATTTCCACTTATATAGCTAGGGTTTTTGGTGGGCTTTTTGATGGGCCGTCTATTTTGGGCACCCAACGGAGCACCACAGGTGAAATATAGGATCCGCACCAAAACCGAAGACTATCGGGTACCCGAAACCGTAAAACCGTGGGTGAAATTTCAGAACCAAAACCGAAAACCGCAGAACCAAAAACCGCGGATATCCGAACCAAAACCCTATTTTGGGGTTACCAAAAATTTTGACATTTTCTGTTTAAAATTTTGGTTGGTGTGTGTGTGTGTGAGAGAGAGAGAGTTGCAGGCGTTTGTTTTTGGTCTCTGTGATGGATGGGATGGGATCGAGTGTTGGTATAAAGATACGTCTGCCCCTTGACATGTCAAATCCTAATCATCCTTTTTACTGTATTTATTTATTTTTTTTTTCTGTCTTCTCAACAACCTTCACAAAATGGAAAAAATTAAAAAAAAAAAAAATTCTTTTTTGGAATTTATTTAACAAATAGATATTTATGAATTAGGACAAATCTAATTACTACAAAAATAATCATTTTTAGTGGCGATAATGTTTGTCGGTATATGTAAAATATCGTCACAATATTGACAATTAAAGCAAAAACGTTTAGATTGGATTGGATACACAATTTTATTTATTGTTGTAGTTATGTAATTGAAATTAAAAATAAAGTAAAAAAATTATGCAAAAATAAAAAAAAAATTACTATTCAGATTAATTAATTTTTCCTACAAATCTAACTAATATAATTAATAATAATTTATTATTATTGTTATTATTATTATTGTTTTCATACAAAAAAATACTACTCAATCCAGGAGAATAGCCCACTAAAAAATTTGAGTAGTCCGTTTCCACAGCATATATTAGATGAGATGATGGGCTTTGGGATTGTTCCAACGATAAAACGGTCATGGGCCTATCTACAGCCCAAATAGCCCCTCCAATTACTTCGTCCAGCAAAGAATATGCATTCTTATACCATTTTTTACAGACATCCAAAAAATATACAAATTAACTAATAACAAAGCTATAAAATCAACAACAACTAATTAAAATAAAATCGTTCACTTTGGATATAAAAAAGTATACAAATAAAATAGTGTGAAGTCAACACTTAATAAAAAGCTCAAAAAATTGAATATCTATAAAACAAACTCTCATATATTTCGTTTCACCAAAAAAAGGGCATTCATAAATCATAATATACATTTTTTTTTTCTCTATCTGTAATTTGTCTTTGTTGTTCACTATCACTGCTTTTGAATATTTTTTCACAAAGTCAGCCAGTAATAGACACACATAAATTCTGTCCTGGATCAATCAGGCCAGCAAGCTCGGCCCGTTCTCGACTGCTGCTCGGGAACTCTCGTTGCCATGATGTCTCGTCATTTGTACGTCACGGTTGAAATGGGTTCGGGCTTTTGCGTAAGGAGCATCTCTCGCTGAAGTATCGTTGGAATTCAAAAATAGAAAAAAACGTTATTACCGTTTCCGTTCGCAAGATTTCGTTATACTATTATATTCTTCGTGTTTTAAGCTGTTTTGGAGAGAGAAATAAACTTCACTTGATTATTACCTGCAATTCTCTGAGTTCGAAGAATATTTTGCCTCCTTTTCCACCAACACGTAACGCATGTCGCGATAAGTAGAAATGCCACGCAAGATCCGAGCACAACACCAACTTTAGCACCGGGAGAAAGGTGGGTCCCACACGGCGATAATCCAGGGATGCCACAAAGACCTGAATTGTCTGTAAAACTGCAAAATCACCCACAATAAAAACTTTTTCTCTATAGTTTTTCATAAAGAAATTGATAGGAAGAAAAAAAAATAAAACAGACAAAATCTGAGAGTTTAAGTGTGTGTAAAAGCAAGAAAAGAGAACATACTTGAAGCTAGCTCCATGCAAGAGTCTTCCCCCAAGTGCCGATGGAACTCTCCCTGATAAAGAATTACCGTTCAAGTCCCTGTTTGGGATGTGCCCGGATTAGTCCATTTTCAGGTGCTTCAACGTTCAAACTAACGGAAATTACGAATTTAAAATTTTCTTACAATATCCTTAACGAGGTTAGCTGTCCAAGGCTGTCAGGAATGGATCCGTTGAAAAAGTTGTATGACAAATCCCTGTTAAAAAGAGTAACCAGTATACGTTCATTACAACTTACACCTAACTCTTCACCATGAGAGTCGCATTCAAAAAAATTGTAACGTCAAAAACAGAAGCATTAACTTTTTACTTACAGTATCTCCAGGCGAGATAGAGTTCCGAGCGAAGATGGAATGACCCCAGAAATGCTGTTCCCACTCAAATTACTGTGAAGACCGGCATTTGATATATTTATATATTTTAATTATTCAACTTGTTCACGAGAACAAAAGTGAACGTCTCAGACAGTCAGACTTTGAACACAACTGCGTAAGGCTATCACTTACATGCTTTGGAGATGACGGAGTCGCGATACATCGTTTGGTAAGAAACCATTCAAACCTTGGTTGTCAAGGCCTCTACCATCACAAACATAAATGACAAAAAAGAAAAAAAAATACAAAGTAATAGAGTTATGGACCAAGCATTAAGTGCCACAAATGTTGAACGACAAATATAGCAGATACGAACAATGCAATCAAGCTAAAACCATTGAGATGACCAACTTATAACCATATTCCATTTTTCCCAGGCTTCTCTTTCAAACTACCATTCATGATTTCCTTTGTCAACAGTTGGTTTATGCTATACGATAGTTGGTTTTATGTTATACAATACGTGATTCAGTAACTTGTGATTTTGACAACTGTGGCCACTAAAAAGTTCTCATTTTGAAGCTAATTGTTTTACTATAATCGCTTGTATAGGATAACGTAGAGACTGAAAATAGTGCCATGTGATTAATGTACTTCGAGTACTCGTGTAGTCGTATTTGACGAGATTGGAGTAAAATTTACACCAAAAAGAAGAACACGAAAGAGATAATGAACATACACTCCATCGATTACGTGCTTAGATATGTTCCTGTCATATAGACAGTCCACTCCACTCCACGGATGCTGCTCGGGTACGCACGGATCCCCATTCCACCCCAGACGAAGAGGAAGACCCAGCGCATCCCTCAACTTGTGTAATGCTCTAACTACATCAAACCGAACAAACAATCCTCACATCATAAAAAAAAAAAACAATAAAACTAATAAAAAAATCTCAAAAACTCAAAAATCGCTGCCTGTACTTACTTTCTTCCGACGAAGTCTTGGACTCGGCTAGCACAATCTCCAAAACCTCGACAGCGCTAATTATCGCACGATCCCCCTTCGTGGGCCGCAGGGTCACCGTCAAACTCCTCCCACCAACACTAACTGTCGTGTTCAGAACGAGCGCAGTATTCACTCCCCCACTCATTCTCACCACATCCACATCCTGCAACACAACATCTCCATTGATCAGCACGTTAAACACCCTCTGCCCGGGCCCCGTCACGGACGGATCGATCTCCGCAAAATGCAGCCACAGAGAATAATTCCTCACGGGCTCCACCTCGATTGTGAACTCCAAATCCGGCACCCCATCACCGCTCAAAATCGCCGTCTTATAAAGAGCCTCGGGATAGAAATTCGGAGCTTGGGAGGCTCCTTTGATCCCACTCTCGGCCGTTAACACCCGATCGGAGCCCGAATATAACGACTCCTTCCCATCCCAAAATCGATCACCACCCCACGTGTCCCCGCCGTAATCCGAACCGAACTTCGGTTTGTTCGTACCGCAGCTGAGACGAGTGAGCGTGCGGAGGATCGTGCCCTGGCCGTAGCCTTGCCCGAAATAGTAGGCTCGGTTGTCGATTTGTAGGATTTCTACAGCGAGCACAGACGGGCTCCCGTGGCCCGTGCTGTGGAAGCAGATAGAAACAGTACCTTCTTTTAAGAAGACAAGGGCCTCGACAAAGGATTGCTCGTCATGATTGCTCCAGCCTGTGGGGAGGGAGTATATGAGCGTGCCTTCGACCGAAATGTCGAAAAGGGGCTCGTTTCCGAAGGCTGCGTCTTGTAATAGGCCGAGGTAGATGCGGACGAGGTAGTGGCCGTGTGGGACCCGGTTGATGTTGTAGCAGTTCTCGGGGCCGTCGGATGTGGGGAAGTAGCGGAGCGTGCGGAGAACGGGGGTGATGAAGCTGGGGCGGGAGGCGTTGCCCGGGACGCCGCCGGTGTAGGCGAAGTCTTTGTACCAGAGAGTGTTGGTAGGGGGAGATCGAATGTCTTCGCGGGCCCCACAGCTTATGCGGAGGGCGTATGGTGCTGTGGGATGGTTAACAGAGATTCATGATCATGGCATGAAAACTGAAAGCATCATCATATTGTACAATAGGGTCTTTGCATTAACTTGGGATTTGCTTTTCTGAACTCAAAATGGGACTAATAAAGCTCTCAACTTTTGCAGCAACACATTGATATAAAAAGCAACTCTCTTGCACAAAATTCAATCAAAGACAAAACCCCAATCAAACAGTTTCACTCAGAGCATAGCTTTCCTTAGAATCGAACCGCGCTCAGTCGATAAAAATCGGACATTCAATCGTATTATTAGGCATCGAACCACTACCCCCACACCCCAAAAATGGGACTAATAAAGCTCCCAACTTTTGCAGCAACACATTAAAACAACAACCCATTTGCAGAAAATTCAATCAAACAGTTCACTCTCAGGCTCTTTTTAGAATCGAACTACACTAAAATCGATGATATTAACACACATTTAATCATAGCATTAGCATCAAACTACATATTCAACAGTGAACTTAACTGATTCAACATTATTCACCAAACAAATCAAATCAAGCAGTAACAGAGAGAGAGAGAGAGAGAGAGAGAGAGAGAGAGAGAGAGAGAGAGAGAGAGAGAACTCACATCGAGAAAGAGAAGGCCTTGGAGCAAAGACTAATAAAACAAGAAGAAAAAACAAGAGCAAGCGGATTTCCAGCATTGTGGCTCGGAACTCAGATTCGTGCAAAATCGAAGCTCTTTGCCCTATATCTCGATTGTGGGGGAGACAAAGTCTTGATTCTTGAACTCCTCAGAGTAAATGTAGCATAGAATAATGAAAGTAAAACAAAATGATGTGGGATGAATGTAGTGAGTAATAGCGTGCTCAACAGGTAGAAATAGAATGAGTTGAAAAAATTTATTCCAGTTGGGTGTGTTTTTTCTCACAACCTCTGTTTATACTTCAAAGTCTCCGAGAGTGCTGTTTTTTTGTCTGGTATACAATGGGTCCTTTTGACCCGTGAATCCAAGGTTAGACATGGCCGCGGTTCGGCCCGACTCGTCATCCGGTCCCGACCCAGTTCCGGCCCGGCCCATAGGTTACCAGTTCCGAGAACTGGCACCGTGGCATTACGGGTTGTTTCCAGGTTCTATTTTTATTGTCCCGGCATTCCGGCGGGCCGGGCCGGGCTGGGGTGTTTCGTGATTTATTAAAAACCTTCTAATTATCTAATATTTATCCTTAATTTTAATCATTAAATCCGACGAAATGGTATTCATGGTCTATAAAAATTGGATAATTGTTTGTTTGTTGGACTAAAATGGTTTGACCCTTGAGCTGTAATAAATAATAATCAAGTGATTGTGATTCAAGTCGGGGCTCGCAGGTCGCACGTGAACAGCGAAACTGCATAAATTGTTGCGCAATCAACGAACGATGTTGGCTGAATGGACTGGGCGAAAAACCTCAAACGAAATGGGCTGTGGAAATTATGGACTATGGATCGTTGCTTATAGGCTGAAAAACAAAATTCAATTTAAGCCCAATGTAAACAAAACTTGATACATGTGCATATCTAACATAAACTATTGCATATATATAACAAAATTTTTGTTTTTTTTCAAACATACACAATCTAACATAAATATTTGCATACATACTTAATTTTTCAAAATTTAATTTATTTTTTAAAAAATAATTATGAAGGTTGTTACGTATAATTGGTAATTGCCCTAATTTAATAGGATTTATTTTCCCCTCTATCTCCCTCTCTCTATAGATCTTTCTTCTTCTTCTTCTTCTTCTTCTACAATTCTAGGCTTAATTTTTCTCTTCCCCTACAAATAAAAATTTTCTCTGTTTTTCTAGATCGACCGAGTTCTGAAGTCGGGCTGAGGTTTTTCGGATCGAGCTCTGAAGTGGGGTCGTCCAGGTCCGATTTGCCATCATCCGACATATGCGTTCTCGATTTTCTTCGACCTCCGGCGGCAGAATAGTGCTTGATCTGCCACCATGTTCGGCGGTAGAAAATTGCCGAAAGTCGCAGTTATACCACCGTTTTCATTATTATGATGAGCGATTGTGAAATTATGGATGTTTTTATTTCTTGCGTTTTATTCTGAAGCGGTGGCATCTTTTTCGATCCATGTTGTTATTTTTTTTTTAAAGATGGACTCAGGCGCTGCGCGTCCCTTCCTTCCTCCTTCCCAGCGAGGATGTCGAGTTGGAGATGACGAAGGTGAGGCCCAAAGTTCGGGCTCGTGGAGTTATCGACAATATATGTATAATAGTTGTGACTTGAAGTCATCATGATTTGACTGAAAACTAGCATCAACATACCTAGTATCTCCTAACTCGTTATTCCCACCACAGATTAAGAAATATTCTTTAAATCGTCTAGGGTACTTAAGAATAGTCTTAACGACCTTCCATTGTTCCTCTCCAGAAATTCTATTAGAACCTATACCATTGATGCTAAGCGCACAAGCCACATCTAGCCTTGTACACATCATGGCATTGCTGAAGCATATGAGATCTTCTTCGTGCGCTCAAGTTCGACATCAATACAAAGACGTTCATCTTTGACACGACAGTGAAAATACTCTGCGAACAAGCAAATTTATGGTTCCACAATAGTCAGATTTTGTCCCATCAAGTTTTCTGACGAGATGCAGCAGTACTTGATGACCACAACCTGCACAACAAGATATTCATTTTCTTCCAACTAGTTTAGATATGCTTAGAATATAGTCAATCAACAAGAAGAGCAATTAATCAATTATCAATTCGCATGCGCCATAAAATTAATCAACCGATAACTGTTTTAGTGTTTTACCTAATCATATATGTTTCTTATGGTGTCAACAACTATTTTTCCTTAATGTATTTGTATTTTTAAAATTGGATCATCGCGTTTTTTTTTTTTTTTTTTTTTTTTTTGTATACAGAAACTTTGATTATAATGAAAATTTTATCAAAGAATACATTGTCTATTCTCTCCCTTTAATTATATTATATAATAATACATGGGAAATGTTACGTCCAGAACTATTCTGTCGGAGTTTGCAACCGTTAGATCATCCTGTCAAGAATAGTTGATCTAACAGTTATAAATCTCGACAGAATAACGTAACAGAACTATAATTTATACATACCACATCTCAGTAATAAGATAATCAATTCACTAAAAATACCTTATTTTATTCCCTTGCATGAACCCCCAAGATTTACTCGTGTACGTAAATAGTTTATTCAGACAACACAGTACAAAAACCTATGCAACCAATAACACTTGTACAACGATCCAACAATCACGACATTTATTTATTGGGCACACCCATGCATGCGTTGACCTTCTCTTCATCCTTATCCACTTTTGTTCCTCCAATTTCCATTCCCAATTTCCCTATTTCCACACCATTCTCTCTCAGCCATTAATAAATACTCCCTCCTTTTTTAAATAAACGTCGTTTTGACTTTTTTGATTCATTCATTTTACTATGTATGTAGACATTATGTCTACATACATAGCAAAATGAATGAATAAAAAAAAGTCAAAACGACATTTATTTAAAAAAAGAGGTAGTAACAAAAACTATCTCACAATTATCGGACCTCCCATACAATTAATCCTTTTTAGAGCAAACCGTTGGAGATATTTTAGCACCACACATTTTCTATTTATATATATATATATATGCCTTACTCTCCACCTTTAAAAAAAAAAAAGATATTATGGGGCTTCTTGATCAGCTTTGGGATGATGTTGTGGCCGGGCCTCAGCCCGAACGTGGCCTCAAACACCTCAAGAAAGGCTACACCAACAACTTGAACATCAAAGGTTTGCTTAAAATTATGAGAGATTCTATAGTCCCGTCATGGAACCATATTCTGTCGGAATTGTAATCATTAGAACAACTACCCAAGACGGTTACATGATAATCTAACAATTACAAATCCCGACGAAATGATTTTAACTAGATTGTAGCATTTTCTAAAATTATATCACCGTAATTAATTTCCTAAATAAAATACACACTCACACGTGACACGTATACTTTTGAACTAACAATTATATTATTTTGTGTTTTGGTGAGTAGACATTGGAGAGGTTAGCAGCGGGCCCAAGTACGCCAGGTCACTGTCCATGCCGGCGAGTCCCGGGACGCCTCCGACGCCGGGAACGCCGTCGCCGACGGCGGCCAACGTGTGGCGGAGCGTTTTCAACCCGGGAAGCAACCTGGCCACTAAGAGCATCGGGTCGGATTTCTTTGACAAGCCACAGCCCAACTCTCCCACTGTTTATGACTGGTGCACGCGCTTCTCTTTTTTAAAAATAATTATCCTTGAAAAAAATGTCATTTATATGGGTTTTTGTTCAAATAATTTATGGCAGATGGTACGGTCCCATTACAAAATCATTTCGTAAGATTCGTAAACGTTAGATCGTCATATAATCGTCGAGATAGTTGATCTAACGGTTACAAATCCCGACGAAATAGTTCCGTAACGACATTGTAGCATTTCCCATAATTCAAAATTGTCTCAAATCGTGTTGCCTTGTGCGGTCCAGAATAAAATAATATTTAATTCTGTTAGGTGGTTTGAAATTTTTTGTATTACTAAAAAATTAATTAAGATGAAATATGTTATGCAATATTGCAGGCTGTATAGTGGAGAAACTCGTAGCAAACATCGCTGAAAAAAAAAAAAAAAAAAAAAAAGGAGTGTTGGGATCACCGGCAGTTGCATGTAAATAGTGTGCTTCATCTATGCTCCGTGTGTGACGACCCGCAATTTCAGCGTTTTTAATTTTCTTTTGATTAAAGCTTTTTATTTATGTGTCTAATATTTTGTTTTATATAGTTTTTTCTACTTTTTTTTTTAAATGTCGGCCCAATATCGGTGCTGTGTGTGTAATATGTTTCGTTTCTTTTCGACCCAATGATCTAATATGAACGGTGTAGATCATATGTCATATGGTCATTTTATTTTGTGTGAAATAACAAATAAGTGGGTTGTGATTTTTTTATTTTATTTTTTTTTTCGGGATAAAGGATTTGTAAATAAAACACATAATTACAATCTTGAATTAACTATATAGTCGAAATCAAAGAGGCATAAAAGTCGAAGACGATTGCAACCTAGAAACCACTATATTAGACGCACTCACAAGAGAAAAAGTAACTCCCACGGAAGGAAAAAATCTCACTCCTACAAGTGGAGAATACTACTATCCAACCGGGAGAGTGAAAAATCAAACACAAGCAACTAGACCTACAAACACAAACACAACTCAAACCAAAACAACACCTAAAATAAAAATCGAAGAGATAGCCCTCCCCATCAGCTGGAAGCAGAACACTGAAAAGCACCATACGAAGACCTAACACCTGAAGACAATCAAACAAGGAGACCAGAGCCCAGGACAGAACTAGAAACTCCAGAGGCTAACGTTACCGGACCCAAATCGGACTAACAACCACCCCAAAAAACCACCAATGCCACAGTGACCGAAGACCCACGGCCAAGTACCCCTCCCTCTCCACACTAACCGACGGCCCCGGCCTGGCATGACCAGTGTTGCAGCTCGACACCACCGTCAAATCACAAGAGACCCCCAACACCATGAACAAGGACAAGACACGGGAAGGAGAGAACGTCGGTCTCTACTCCGGCGAACACCAGGCGACAACCGGAGCCGGCGGCGTCGCAAACCCTCCAACGGAAGCTCCCTCCACCAATCCGCCATGGCTGCTCGGATTCAATGGAAACCCATGCAGGTGCGAAAGGACCTACCTCTGACTGGAGACGCACCGCCCGGCTAGGTGTCGACACTCCTGTAAAGCACCAGAGCCTGTAGAGGGGAGGCACACCGAAAGAATAAGGGATAGGCCGCAGACGGATTTAGGGAATGTGGGTTATTAGGTTATATATAGAGAGAAATTTTGTAGATGAGAGGACACTGGGCTGAGAATAAGATGAGTATCGTGTGGTTCGGTGTAAAACTGCACATTTTCAAAAAATGAAACTGAACTGCACCGTTACAGAGAAAAAATAGAATCGAAACCTTAACAAATTTTGTTGGTTTCGGTGCAGTTAAGCGCAAGTAAAAAACAAAAATTGTAACAAAAAAAAAAGAATGAAACAAACAAAAAAAAATGTAACTAGAATTTTTTTGTTTAATATATTATACATACCTGTAGAGAGTAGATCAAATGAGTCAACTCTTTAAAATCAGTAAATGAGACTCAATCTTAGCTGATGATTTGGTATAAATTAATGACTCATATTAATAAATTGGAATTACATTATGTATATAATAAATATATAATTAATATTATATTCAAATTAATTCTAAAATAAATTAATTAATTAATATTACATTAGTGTAGTATTTTTTTATATTTATTGCATATATTTTTTCATTTCAAAATAAAAAGTACATTTTCATTTTTTTTTTTTTCAATATCCATTTAATTGAAAAAACCGTGTACTTGTGTTGTTCACTTGTTCTAGTTCACACTATGACACTAATGTTCAATTTTCATTTAAACCTCATCAATTCCATATACATCTACTATATTTTTAAAACTCCATCAAGACAAGCACACCTTAATAAATTTCGTGACAATTAGACAAACTGAAATGCCATATTATGAAATCATAAACAAAGTAATACATAATTTTTTTATTTTTTTTTTTAACTCCACCAAGACAAGAACACCCTAATAAATTTTATAGCAATAAGACAGGCAAACACGCAAACAAACTGAAATGTCATACTCTAAAAATCATAGAAAAAAAATATGACATTTATGCACTGCTGAGAAAGTGTGACGGATCGATCTGCCTAATGGTTAAGGCCACCTCGAATATGTGATTTTGCCAAGCATGGGAACAAGCCAAAAAAATAAATATTATTCATCATGTTTATTTGATGTAGGGATTTTCCGACAAACAACTATAGTATGCAATATATATGTATGTGTATATATGAAGAAAAAGAAAAGTAAAATACAAGGTCCTACACCATTATATAAAACCACTGTATGAAATATATATGTATATATGAAGAAAAAGAAAAGTAAAATACATAAGTCCTACACCATTATATAAAACCACTGAAAATGAAGCCAGGAATGAAGAGTTTACCAGCCCCTGAAGTATTTAGTTCATAATATAAGAGCTTAAGTTGAATAGCCATTAACTTAACAGGTAAAACAATATACAGTAATATCTATAATTTTCAATATAACAAAGTAAAACTTTCATCTTGTCTCATACTTGAACTTTCCTTCCACAGAAAACGTTAGCTTCATCCTCGACCATTTTACTTAGACTTGTGCCTTTTCACGGTAAGCCAAAACCTGAATTAAATACATCAACATCATCATCAACATCAACATACCCAGTATATTCCCAAACAGGTTGGGGTCTGGGGGGTCAGTTGTACGCAGTCCTTACCCTTGTAATTATACAAGGAGGCTGTTTCCATAGCGACCCAAGGTGCGTTGCGTCGTTTGATATATTTTTTCTAGAAACTTCACTAATAGAAGAAGCACTAGAATTTAATTGAGCCATTTTGATCTAGTTCACAAAATTTTAATTTGTTTGCCGTGATTGGTTATAGACCCTTTGTATGAAACTGAATAGCCAGCTGTTTAAACAAAATCAATTAAACACATTAGACATGGGTTCATACTTCATACTCCAACCACAGCTTACTTTGGATTCAGCTTAGCAAGATAAGATGGGCCAAAGAGATTAGTCAAACAAAGATTTATTTTCACTCTTGGGTATTTGATACCAAGAGCCAGCTAATAGTCGGTTTTTCAAATTCTAGTGTTGAGTCGAATCTAACAAATTTGGTCTCTACCGGAAGGTACTGGTCTTTTAGCTCGCCAGGTGTCATTTATTTGTAACACTAGACTGGCATATGCATGAGCACATCAAAAGCAAACACACACCACCCATGATTCCCCAATCCCGCATATATATGCGTACTAACCAGAAAATATACAATAAAGTTTTAAAAGGGTCCATATAGCTGATTCACATTTTCAGAACAAAGGTATTACCAGGTTCTGCTGAGTAAAATTGGCACGAATTTCCCCCAACATTTGTTCCTCGTTCAACAGCTCCATCTCGTTGAGACAGGGATTCACAATGCCAAGTTCACCTTTGAAACTAGAAGAGATGTTCACAGGAGGAAAATCTTTTACCATCAAAATTTCTATTTTATCAGCTTCGGTGGATGTCTGCATAGCAACATACTGCAGGAATGCGGGTTAATAACCATTCAGAATCAGTACGTTATTAAATATGAAAAGCAGCCAATTCAAAAGAAATATTTTTAGCAAAACGTAACCTGGCACAAGTGTCCAACTGATGAGTTCTGGCTACAGCATAGATAGGGCCGCTTCAGGCAGGGTACTTTCCCATCAGTCAGCGAAACAAGCGTGAGATTAACATTCAACTGAAACAAGGAAACAACCCAACTTAAGTTCATTAGACAGAGAATACGTGGTGACCGGTACAGAATCTCTCATTGGATAATCTCATAACGTATCATGATGTATCAACTGATTCAAGTATAAAAGTAGACTAAGTGGCAAAAAAGTTAGGCTCGAAATTTCCATCATCAAAAGCAAAATATTCAATAATTACAACCTCATCATTATCATTTGCACTTTTGAGATGCTCTATCAGCTTCATGAGCCTGTTATTCCTTGACAGTTTGCCGTTGGCCCGACCATGCCCACCGTGCCTTGTGTTACTCCGCAAGCGACCTCTTCCCCAGGCAAGAATCTCAGTGCCCCCTATAAGCCCGGCTGAAGCACCAAGCAGTACTCTGCTGGCTTCCGGCTCGTTGTCGTCATCTGGATTGGCCCCCGATGACTGCTGTGAGGACCGACCTCCCCACCTTTTGTGCCTTTTTGATTTTACTTCAGGCGAGCGATCCTCAGCAGAGGATGAATCTTTGCTGCCATTAGTTCCTTCGTCTTCATCAGAGTCATGGATCTCAGAAACCCGATGGGTTGGCCTTCCTCTCGAGTTCCGGTAAGTGCTCTGACGTCTAGAAAAAGCGGCTCCTGTCACTCTAGGTGGTGCTTGTTTCTTTCCAAGTGCTTCCGCCTGCCGGCGAAATGTCTGTGAAATTGAAGCTTGGATCTGGAACAACGGAAACTTGGGTCAGATAGTGTCAGGTTTTTAATTTTTCAAATTTCGGTTCAAGGGTCTCTCTTTCAGGAATATAGTTTTTCTGGGACTGTTTTCAGTTTCTTAGACCTTCAAAGGTGTTTTTTTTTT